TCTCTCTCTCTCTCTCTCTCTCTCTCTCTCTCTCTCTCTCTCTCTCTGTGTGTGTGTGTGTGTGTGTGTGTGTATCTGTCTGTCTGTCTGTCTCTGTCTGTCTCTGTCTCAAGCCAGGGTTTCTCTGTGCTTCCTAGCAGTCTTGGAACTTGCTCTGTAGACCGGCTGGCCTCGAACTCACAGACTCACAGAGATCCCCCTGACTCTGCCTCCTGAGTGCTGGGATTAAAGGGGTGTACCACCCCTACCAAGCGGGAATTCATTTCTTGGTGGTAATATTTAAGCACCTACTGGGATTTGTCACGACTTGGCTGTCAGAAAGGAGTTTTATGAAGGTGAAGTAGGAGGAAGGCTTGATCTGGGGTTCCTCCTAACACACTGGGAACGATCACTGCCCTATTATTTTCCACTCAGGAAAGCACGAGTGCTGAGCTTGTAGGGCAGGAAACTCCAGCTCAGCTTTTGCCAGAGCATGGCCTCAATTTGTTTCCATTCTAAGCCTGATTTGAATAGAGCTGGGGTCCCAGGGAAGGACAGCCTTTGGCCTTCATAGTTCCGGTTTTACCATTCTGTGTGTGGTGACACTGTCCGCATTCTGAGTACAGGGCTTTCCGTGTGCTCTGCTCAGCAGTCATAGCCCAACACCATGTTCCACCTCCTTATCTCCTGGTTAGCCATGCCTCCTCCTGATCCACTGCTGTGGTTCTGAGGCTTTCTTCTTTTCTCTTTTCAAGACAGGTACTTCTCTGTTTAACATTGGCTGCCCTGGAATCCATTCCTCTGTAGTAGGAACTCAGAGATCCTGCCTCTGTCTCTGCCTCCCAAGTGATGGGGTCAAAGATGTATGCCACCACCGCCTGGCTCTGAGGCTTTGTTCTTGTCTCATCCTTTGTGGCACTAAAGTTGCTGATTCTGCGATGGGGCTTCTGGGTTTTCCTCGCAGAGAATGGTGCATATGTTCTTAAAACATCCCACCGCATTATCACTGGCTTATAACGAAGGCTCAGGAAATGGTCATAGGGGGACGGGGAAGCAAAATCCACGAGGAGGGCTGAACAATGACAGGCAGTCATGGCCTCCTCTCACAACCTCAGCTAGTTCTCACTTGGGGAAGTCTGGAATTGCCACATGGCTTATGGAAGGGAGTTCCTCATACACGCTTCTCAACCTGCTCTTCCCCCAGCAAGCCTTGCCCAAGCTTACCCAGAGGACCAGTGACCATGCAAGCTAGGATAGCGTTCCTCCTGCTATCTGCGGCTGCTAGCTGATGCTGTCTCTCCTCCATCTTGTCCTTCTAACAGCTGGGGTCTTTTACATTCCCAAGGTCATTTGTAATGAAGGTCATTGGCCTGTTTCAATGGCAGAACCTGTTCTACTTCCTAGCCATGGACTCCTTGTGGGCCTGGAATGACAGGTTTGTCTCTGGAAGTACAAATGGACCCCTAAATCAAAAGGCATGCCAGAGCCTGGGAGTGGCAGACAGATGTAGGGTGTGAAGATGACCTCATACCCACACAGAGCAGGGACTGTAGAAGGAGGAGGATGGCCTGGAGGTGTCCAAACCCTCATTCCCACTACTTTCTAGTTCACCACATTACCACAACCTCCCCTGCTCTATTCAAGGCTCCAGCACATCTGTCATCCAAAGTTGATGGTGGCCAAAGGCCTTAGTCCATCTCACTGAAGAGCTGAGAAAAGCCAGGCTCATAAGACTCCATGCAGGAAATGGGTTTCTCTCTCTGGATGTTCACCATATGTGACCTTTATCCTCTACGGGCTTAAGAGTCAATGGTACAAGTATCAGACCTATTTTCAACCTATCCCCAAAGATACATCGTTGTCAGTTGATAGAGTAAATGTTCCTGGCTTGGCCAAGCCATGCCTGCATCTTTTCTTTGGATAAAGCTTATGGCCTCTCCAATTCATGGAATCATTAGTTCAACGGTTTGATGGCAAGCCATTAGCTGATGGCAGTTAGATGATGTAGGGGACGCAGATGGGGTTGACAAACCAGGACAGAATAGGGGCTTCCCCTGTGCTATAATACTCCTGGCCAATGCCCAGCTGTCCGGGAGAACACAGGCAAGACCCTCTGAACACCAACATTCAGGTCACAGTCTTATTAGGAGGACCATGTGAAGGCTGTTCTGGTCATGGGCTGAGATGGGTCTTCCCTAGATCTTTGTATTGAAACCCTCACCCCTAGCACCTAGGGATGTGGAGATGGGTTTTCGTTGTTGTTTCTCAGACAGGGCCTCATCCTGTCACCCAGGTTGGCCTCACACTCACAGCCATCCTATTTCAGGCCCTTGAGTGCTGGGATTCCAGACATTTGCCACCCCGTCCAGACCAACTGAGAGGGATTTTACAGAGCAGTTTAAGGCCGAGTGAGATGATAGAGGTGTCCCTAATTCAGCCTGACTAGCACCCCCATAAAAGAGGAGGACAAAGAGAGATACTAGGGACACACAGACACAGAGAAGGACCACACGAGGGCCTGGCAGAGGCACTGCCTGTAATCTAAGGAGAGAGGCCTCAAGAGAAGGCATCCATTGATATCTTGAT